GCTGGGTCTTGACATTGAGTTATGGGTAGGAATTAGAATAGGTTAGGAAATTGATTATTTATTATTATTATATTATAAAATCTTTATATTTATTTATTGAATTATAACATTTATTTTGTTTATAATTTTTTACACCAAAGTCTAAACTTAACAAACTTTATGCTGTTAGTCACCTTTTTACGAGATCAACCCAATTACCTATTTTTTGAATTAAAATGTCGGCTTTACAAATAGTTTATATTTTTGAGTCAGAAAATAAAATAGGATATTATATTTATTTTTTATCAAAATAACGGCTAACTAATAAGCCGGCTAATTTTTTTTATACAAAGTTAAAATATTGTCAATAAATGATTTTTTAACTATATCGTCAAGGGATGACATACAACAAAATCACACCCAAAGCTCAGTACCACAGACAAATACGGCTATTTCTATCTTGCTCCTAAATATTTGTATGTGTATGAGTGTATCCTAATTCACAACTCAAATATTCTGATTTGATGATTTGACATTCTTAGAAAGAGACAAAAAACTTGATAAACATCACCGTTAAGTGTTGCCTCAGGCCAATAGAGTGTCAAAGAAGACCACACTTAATGCCAAAATTCTTAATCAATAAATCTATGAGACCTGATTAATACCTTGTAGATATATGTCAAAATTCTTAAGCAATAAATAGAAACTCAGTAAATTGCTACAGTAAAATGTTTATACAATGTCAAACAAGACCACATTTAACGCCACACGTAACCGCATAATGACGATCATGCCATTGTATAAAGTCATACATGCAAATGCATAATGCTACATACACCAAAAGATAATGCCAAATATGACAATATATAGTGCCACACTTGACAATGTATAATGACAGATATGCCAATGTATAATTTTATATATAACACACATGTTAATGCATGATCTCAAAAAAGTTAAAAATCAAGAAACTCTATTTGCCAAAACAATAATCATTTAGTTTCAATATATGTTTTACAAAATAATTTTCTAAGAAGTATATTTAGATTTAAAATCAAATGTCACAACCTATGTGAAATTGAATATAAAATTGATTAAAAGTTTCAAACTCACACAAGGCTAAAGAATTAGTACCAATTTTACAAAATAATTTCAAAAAAAGTAAATTTTTAGATTTAAAATTAAATTTTACTACTTATGTCAAATTAAATATCAAATTGAATTCAAACTTACCCAAGAGAACGGGGGCATCCGAGCGATGAAAAATAGAAATGATGGAGAGGGGTGGAAGGAGATTGTGTGTATGAGAGAAAAAGAGATGATGGAGAGTGCGGTGGAATCATAGCCGCATGGAGGAGATGGCAGCGGAAAAGAGGGGATTGAGATTAAGTTGACTCAGCAACTCATATTAGAACGAAGGAGATCGTAGAAGGATGAGATTGGGAAGGAGCCGGGTGACTTTTTCGACCGCATAGGTCTGGGATGTGGTGTGGTTAGTGCGAAGAGTAAATAAAAAAAAAGTAATTAATTACTCCTATTTAGAGGAGTTTAAGTTTGAACTTCTATTTTGAGGATATGATATATGTATTACTCCTATTTAGGGGGTTTTCTTTTTACTTCCTCCTCCGTCCCTAACTTTTGTTTATTTCTATGTTTTCATTGGTTATTTGATAAAATAAAGTATTCTTAACACCTCTTATTTCGAAAAACTTTTCATGTAGTTTTTTGATATGTACATTTTATTTTATATTTCTTATACCAATCTCTAAATAAAATGAATTGAAAAAACTTTGTATTTTATCTAGGTAATAGAAATGTGATATATATTTAGAGACGTAGGAAATAATTATTTATGGCCTTCTCTTATAACAAGGCAACAATGAGATCGTTTTATTATGATGACAAGAATACATTTGTCACACTTACATTTATACTCTCTCCGTCCCTAAATAAAGTTCCATTTTTGACTTTTTGAGAATTTAAGGAAGAGATATTTTTGTGTTGACTTTCAAAAAATACCCTTGATGTGATGTGTAAAAGTATGATGTGATAGGTAGGGTATGAAAAAGTAAGGTAAAAGTGGTTTTTTAAGGGAAAAGAAATGTTTATTTGGGGACAAAGAAAAACAAAAGGAGAAGTTTATTTAAGAACGAGGGAGTATAAAATCATTTAATATAATTTGTTTACATCTCGGATGACATGTGTCCAATTATTAGCTGAAGCTCTTCCGGCAGTATCGACCTTCTTCTTCGTGTTCTTAGCGGAAGGAAGGTAAAAAAAATTGGATCTTCACGCTAGGAAACTAATTTGATTCAGCCCTGATTCCTGGCTGCTTTGATTTTCACGGAAGGAAAGAAATTCAGGTACTACGATTCGACTTTCCATTCTTCTTCTTCTGCTACCCCAATTTTACCCTAATTTATTCCGGAAAATTCTTTTTTTCATGAATTGGTGGGTTGATTGATACCAATCTGCTTCCTGAAATAATAAAAATCGTGATTTATACCTAATTTATATCTGATTCTTCGTAAGGATTTTGAAATCTACACCATTGTGTTAGATATTCACGGAAGGAAAACAAATCTGCAAGGAAAGTCCTGATGATTCTTCTTCGATTGTTTGCGGAATCTTTTTGTGGATTCTGAAATCGCCGATGGTATTTCTACCGTTTATGTGTGCGATTTTTACCCTTTTGGGGCCGAATCTTTCTCGATTTCGTGTTGAAAATCGAAATCAAAGTCAAAGAGATGTTAATGGGGCGTTAAAAATTAAAACTTTTAATGGATTCTGTTGCTTTTCTTGAACTGTGATTGCAGCGATTACAGTGTTGAAGGAGGAGTCGAAGAGGTGTAGGGAGTCATTGGGTGAACCAGTCTTGGAAGAATTTCTTCCAGTGAAGAAGACTCCAGTTGATGATGATGATGATGATGATGATGACATAAACAAGGTTTAGAATGTCAAGGAGAAAGACTGTAAAAAAGGTAAAATAGGTGTTGCTTGGGTTCATTTTCGTTACTAAATTTTCCCACATTTTTTATTGGTATTTCATTGATTAATACATTTATGATTATGGTATGATGAACCTATAAAAATGCTATTATGCTCTGTTTATCTATCAAAATTTGGGTGGTTGGGGGTCATCCATTATGCTGCTTAACTTTTTTCTAGCAGCTGAAGATTTTAATTATTGCTCACTGTGTAATCTTCTCTTTGTTGAATTCACATGTATAAAGCATACACTTTTAGCCTCATAAATAAAAGGACCCCTAACCATTATGCTTTTTAATTTGAAAATTTTAATATCTTAGGCCACTCGGGTGAGATTAAATTGGGTTGTTGTTGGTGTTGTTTTTGTTGTTGTATTATCTTATGCAATTTTCCTGAGCTAAACTGAAGAGGTAAATCCGCTCTAAACACATATCTACTTTGGTATGTTGGAACATCGAATGCCTACATATTAGTTATTCCATTGCTTCGTTTTTAAACACTAATGCTTTGGTAACCTACTGTTGCAATACAGGAATTGATGGCTCAACCGAGCTATGAGATGTTGTGAATTGATGTGTGCTGCTGAAAAAGAAGATGAAAAACTTGCAGGTATTTTTCATTTTTTTCATATCAATTTCATATTGATACTCTCAGATTTTCACAAATCAAAGATGTTTCACAAAAGGAAGATGTGAGTTTATTTGTTTTAATTCATTTAATCCACCTCATATTAGCTAGATATTAAACTTTCACTTAATTTTGCATTTTAAATGTCCAGTTGTACTTCATGCTTTAGTTTTGGAGTCTTAAAATATGACGTGTTCTTAATTTTGCAATATTAAAGATTTGTAATTTTTGGGAGATATTGAATACATGTTTTATAATAGAGTTCCCCTGCCATGAGTGTTATTGGAGACATCTAATGAAATGTTCTGCTGCATATATATCGCTAGATAGTTTTGCTAAGAAGACAAGGGGTTGAGCGGTTATGCCACCGAAAGTTTAAGAGCATGGCTTTTACAATGGGTATTATTAAGGTGCATTAAATGAAGACCATTCAGTGGGCAAATATTTTCCCTTTGCAATCAATATACATCATTTCCTTCATCGTCTTTGTCTTTATATTAATGTTGATTCTGTAGCGTTTGCATACTAAATCATTTTTCATGTTAGCAGGTGCGATGAGTCAAGTTTGCAGTCATGGACAAGTTGAAAACATTAGTGCACATAGTGTGTCCCGCCTCTTAGTGGAGCTGGAAAAATTCAGGTAAGTGTTTTTTAATAAAAAAGGGTGGTGTTTTATAATTGGCATATATGTGTGCTATAATGGAAGAAAGTTACCAGATAATGGTTTGATAATTGGACAATGAAAATTCAAATATATATCCATAATTTAATTTTTTTAGTATTTTATCTAATGCTTATTCTCAATTTTCTAAGACACATGATATGTATGGGTACAAAAATACTCCCTCCATCCCTATTTAATCTTCATGTTTCGAATAATGTTTTATATTTAGAGTTGTTTTCAATTCAACTTATTTCAATAGTGGTGTAAAATTCACTCTCTTTGCGCCATGTGTTGTAATGTCAATTTTGGTTTATGTTCTAGCAATTAAGTTTAATGAATGTCTTTAGATTCTTTGGCTGTAGAAAATATAATCTGGGTGTTGTCTTCAATTTGGTCCGAAAAAGAAGATAGAACTCTTATGAGACTTTTGCTCCCTTTAGTTGTAGGGCATTAATCTTTAGCTTGGTTTTTACAAAAAATGGTATAAGCTTGGTGTTGATTTTGCGAAGGTGAAAAAAGGGGAACCCACTTTATATGTTTGTGATTTAAGAATATGTGTGGTATCATTCTTTCACGCTTCAATGAAATTAACATAATCTCTAAATTTAAGGGCTATTGTTTCAAGGTTTTAGAAGAGTTTCTAAGTTTGAAGGGTTATCAGGTGTAACAATACTAACGACTTGGAACTCAAGTGTAACCCATCTTATTGCATCTACAGATGACAAAGGGGCATGTTGAGGAGTACTCAACTTTTTTTATGGGTGTCTTAGTGAGTAAATTAATCCTCTATATGCTTAGTATTTTTGAAAATATAAAAAGCTCAATTTTCTTTCCTCTCGATTACATTTAGTTCTAATATTTTATTTCTGTTCGTATAGGGATTAAAGCTTGCTTGAATGCTGTAGGGTTTCTTGATGAGCACCAATATGACATTGTAGTTGATTTTTCACTTGCATTTAACTTATTACTTTTAAAAATAAAATCAACATGCCCTATTGAAACACTCTTCCTATGAAGTTTTTTTCAACCATTTTGCCTTTGCCTAACTTTTTTTTCCAAAAATCGTTGCTCCTTGGGGAGTTTGTATTTGAGTGGTAGTTACTTTTTTAGAATTAAAAAGATGTTTATATGGGGTGTGTCTTTCATGGGGTGTAAGGATAACGAAGGTATCCAACTAGGAAAATCAAAACCCGAAAACATTTATTTGGAAATACATTTTGTTTTATTACAGTGCATTGTGGAAGTCCAGGAGCATCATTGGGAAGAGATGCTACCGTACTTGAGTGTGGGATGATCTACCCTCTCTGCTCTAATGCTCATTCCCATCATTTTCAATGAAAGACGAAGATGACGACTACAATGTGGGCAATTACTTGGCCTATACTCAAGGAAAGCACCACCAGACCAATTGGGTCAAGTGAGCAGCCCGCAAGGCCAAGGAGGAGCCTGTTTTGCCGCTCTCTCATACGCACAAAATCTCTCGAAAAAGACAGGTATAAATCTTTTATATATAAATTTGAGAGGTTGATGTCCAGAAAATTGACATATGGCAATTTTTATGTTTCAGATTTTTTGACATGTGCCTCTCACTTAGATTATTCATTCACCTAAGCCTTTCAAAGGAAAGTATAAAACTTCTTCCCCACCCGGATTTCTTCTACACGAGCGAGAGGGATTGATTCTTCGCCAAAATTAAGAGAACGTATGAGCTTTCCTTTCTCATTTGGAATCTAATCGCAACAATTGCTCGCAATGAGAAGTTTGATTTGATGCATTTCGATCATTCTTTCCAAAAATTGAGGTATTGTTTCATTCTAAGCCGATGCTCCTCCATCTTAGCAATCAATTGCTCTTTTGGCATCTGATTTCAAATCGCTTAATTTCTGCTATTCTTATTCATATCTTACCAAAACTCACACGGGGAAGCGATTAACAATTTCATATTGAGTCCTCAAACTCTGGTGAATCCTATACGCCCTTAACAACATACATACATCTCACTGTGACTGAAAAAAGGCCCAACTCCAAGCATAAGCTACATGGTTTACACCAGTCCGAGTCCCTTCAGTGTCTGCCACTCAATTTCTCCTTAGGTTTGGTGAATCTGTGTGTGTAGGCTTACATATTCATCTGATTTCTTATCCGTGGTTAGGTGTATCAGTGTATGTGTATGTAGATCAGATTACAGTACTAACTATGATCAAATTGATAACTGCATCATCCCAAAAGTCAAGTGACACCGAGTGACAATCCATGTACTAAACTGATTAGTTTCCAGTGGTGTTATAATTAGTCATTTTCATTCTTTGAGACTGACAAACTGCAGGGGAATCAAGCAACTGAAACTAAAGACAACCTAATGAAATTCCTAGCTTGAAATCTGCCAAGAACCTTGCAATCATAATAGAGGACATACCCAGGTATCCTCACTCTTTGTCATTCCTATCATATATACATTGCTTTTGTCTCATTTGCCTTTGCTATCAAAAAGCAAAGTTTGAATTATAACAGATATTCTATTGTAATAGAGTTAGTTGTTGATGGTGTTAGAAAAACAATACTGTTTGGTCGGTAAAATTGACAGGGTGTAGGAGGACTAGCTGAATATACCCGAGGATAACTCAACACAGGCAAGACCTCAGGAAATCTCAGCATCTGAAGCCGCAGGCCTACCTATTTCGGGCGAAACCGCCTATCAGGCTCTAAAACACATTGTCGGGATGTATTTTGACGGGGAAGCGAGTAAACATTCTGATCACGGCTGCCTCGGGTGGGGTGCATTACGCTGTACAGTTAGCCAAACTAGGGAATGCACATGTGACTGCTACGTGCGGTGAGCGTAACATGACAATCATGAACCTGTAGCAACAAAGCCAAGATAAGCTGTGGCCATCACCATTGATACCAGCTGTATCTTTATGACCCGAGCAGGAATGAAGGAACCCAGCGATTATGCACACTGAGGCAGTCGGCTCCCACAATAACATACTGTAGTGGACAAAGCTCAATATGTTGCTGTAGCCACTATTACTCATTGAAAAGTGGGGACTATCTGATTTGGCATATCAAGGATGTGTTAGGGATGAGTAAACAGAGGGGGGGAGTACTGTATAGAGAAAGACTTCTTTTGTTACTCAAACATTATTTGCTTATTATATCTCAATTATGGGGA